TTTTTGATTGGATTGGATAACTGGTCGGATCTGAAAATTGAGTGTGATAGGAAAATATGAATGAAAAAGATAGAAATTTTGTTGGAAAAAATAGTTACATCGATAGAAAGGAAAAATCGTTAGAAAAATCGTTCTGAACATTGAATAAAACCTGAAAACCACTAAAAATTTAGTGTGACAGATAACAAGACAGTCAGAAGTGAGTAATGAATTCTCTTGGATCTTTTTCGTTTACTTTTGAGCTGGTCCGCAGAGAAAGATGAAAAAGAATTCTGCCTTCACTCTCAGAAAGCGTCGAAACTGCCAACTATTGGGGACTACTGGATACTACTAATGCTGCTAATGTACTGCTACAGTAATCGAACGTAATCTGATTAATAATCAGTTGAGACATCAAAAGCGGACGTAGAAATGTCAGAGGTAGCCTAAGTGGAGCTTTATTGCCTGCGGTCGTACGCACACTGCGCTACGGAACCCAGCTGATGTTACGTTTGCCTGCGCAATGTGGACACACAATAGGTACTTTTGCTGTGTAAACAAAAAGCGAAGTCACTATGAGAGGGACGCGGGCGTATGCTGACGCTTCGTCGGCCACCTAGTCCAACGAGATCTGGGAGGTACTGAATAGACCTTCAAATACTACTAACTGGGATCATTCGCATGGTAAAGTATGACCCAATGGAGTAGACCTTAACAGAGGCATTGGCCAGCTGAGACCTAGGAGGCACCCTGGAACACCAGCGAAGAGGAGAGAAAGTGGGTATAACGGGCGATAGTCACGAACGATACCCCTCCTAGTGAGACAACTACTAGTTATCTCACCAAACGTTATATCGTTCGTGAGGGCCGCCCGTTGACTAAATGAGCAACCAAGTGGCAATAACAAATGGGCAAATAGCCAAAAATCTTAAGACATCCTAATTTGATGGGCTCGGAGGGGTTTGAAGTGTTCTGAAAATGTCTTGCGAAGTGTCATCAGGGCCCCCAGGACGTTATCTAAAGACCGTCCCTGAGTTTTTGAACGAACTATCCGTCAGAAGTTAGCGATGGACAAATGGGTAAGCACTGACTTCTTTGGAGTGCGCCACGCATTTGACTTCGTTCAGAATCGCGGTCATGTTGAACTCGTAATTGTCCTCGACACGGCCAATGCTTTCATGTCCCTAAATGGCTTCAGTACTATCCAAAAAATAAAATCAAGACCAAAGGAGCATAGAAAAGATTCAATTTTGAGGTTATACCAGTTTCCTTTGATCCTTCTCAGCTTAAAAATACATCCGACACATTTGAAGTTTATAGTCAGTCCTATATACAGGAATGTCTCGAATGATGCAAAAGCGGAAACATTCGATATTCAGAATAAAATTAGTGAATAAGAGTACAACATATTGTTAAATAAAGTCCAGCCAAACATTTGTCCATTTCCATTGTTCGTCGAGTAGTCAAAGTTGTACTTCAAGTTCCGGTCAACAAAACCAACTTCAGCCTTTACGTCAAATGTTTGGACCTGTGACTTCCCAGAAAGGAACCTTTGTGTCAGCCATTACGAAAGTGCATGCCCTGAATAAAGTTGCTATTTATTGCAAAAGGGTGAGGTTTTTCAGACTAAGAGCCCATGAAAAGACTTCCTGTGCTACGTCAATACCTATTTTTGGCCATATAACTATTCAAAAACTTGCAACTTACAACTAACTGAGCACAGATTAGAAGGGCGTAAATGGGTAGAATAAGTGATGCCGCCAGCTAGCACAAAGGTATGATAGGGAGATCGAACCCCCAGATGAAGACTCGTTCACGCCAACTATGCCTTCAGTACCTCCGGGGCGGAGGCGATTTGGTAGCAGACTCATCTGAGAGAATAAAGGCATCGACTTAAACATTGGCTTACCAAGCAATTCAGTATATAGGCAAGATACATAGTCATACACTACTACGATTCTGAGAGGAGGTAGAAAGCAATCCCGGATCCCAAAAATGGGACTGATTAACTTCGGGAGAATTACAATTTCAAAGTTTTCATCTACTCAAATTTCTCATGTTCACTTTAGAAAACATAGCATTAAAGGGATGGCCTTCATCAATTCCTATCGAAAGGACATCCATTTGATATCAATCCTGAATCGTGGTCGTTTGGTCTGCCTCATGACCTCCAACCATTAGACGACATTCGAGCTACATAGCATCCACATTCTCCCAAGGACGGCTGATCCTTTATTATGCCCACATTAACAAATTGCTCACCGTAGAGGCTCTATACTCGGTTAGCTACCAGTAAAAGACATCTCGAAGGCAACTATACCTCTACATATTTCGAGGTAAGCTCGACGAAGAATAGTCAAGCGGCCACTCCATTCCATCTCTTCTTGGAAGCAGCCCGTGAAACTGGTGTTTGTAGGATTGATTTGGGACCATTTGAAACTTCAATTGAACCGTACCTCGACATTTGGTACCCATTTTATTAAAAATTCAGTTCAAACTATTTATTGTCGAAGAAGTCCGAGAAAAAGCCAGAGCTTTCGAAAAGACCGACGAAGAGAGAAAACTGAGAAGGTTCTCTGGGCGTGTCAGAATTGACAGCGTAAAAAAGCCGTGTCGTGAGAGCTTTTACATCAGAGTGCAAAAAGATTATCGAAGGTGGTTCAGTGAGAAAATACACAATGTGGCAACAAAAAAAGACTTTTTCTGCCTTATCGCTATCGTCGCCTGGGAGGCAAAAAGGCTTAGGACCGTTTGTTGTCACCAGGAAGGTAAAACCTATGGGGCCCGTTCAATTCGGAACCGAGACGGGGACACCTTGATCCATAATTCATGCCTCTGTCTCATGTTTACTCATGATCTATTTGCATTCTGTTAGCTTTTCCCGTTGGGTCCATAACCAGTCCGTATCTATGACGACACCCCTACACTGCAATTATCTGATTAAACGGCCATATCATGGATTATCGCTAAACGGACTCTGTCACGCACTTATTCAAGTGTGAAACAGTGTACGAAAGGGCATAGATTCCTTCCAACCAACGATTTACATAGGAACGCATACTTTTTAAATCAATAAACAAAATAAGTTAAGTCGAGCCATCCAAGTTGAAATACATATGTGATGGAACGACAACCCAATGTGAAGGAGAGTAGATTAGAGCTTATAGAAATGTTGCTATAATGCAGCAAAAATAATATTTCATATAATAATTAAATGTAGCGTGAACAACAATAAATAATAACAAATGTGTTATAACGTAATATATCTATCTAATACAGTGTAGTCTAATACAGTGGTATGTGGTGTAGTGACAAGTGGCGCAATGTCCATGTACAAGATCCTGGGATTAAATCCCAAATCCATGCTCTCCCAGGTCAACCAAGCCTCCATCTCTCCAGGATCGGCTAATTGGTACCCGTTTTGTCTAGGAAGATGAAAAGCGGCCGACCATCGCACGTCACCGCATAGGATAAATACGCATTCAAAATGCCTGGATAGAAGGAGGATGCAGGGCGCATTCCAAAAAAGGGTCGATTAACAGACTTCAAGCTTTTCGATATGTTATAAAATAACGAGATCAATTCGCTAATCGAGTTTCGACTCGCCAATGTTATCCTCACCCAGTCAGTATACCACACTCGAGATACCGTACACTGACTATAAGAAGGTGAATGCTGACTTGTGGGAGACGGGCGTTAGGAATGATTTTGGGTAATCGATTCGCCGCACGCGGCTGTCGCGGACACTCATTCGCCGTTGTTACAACTCTAGCGTTCTTCATACAGCTCAATTGATATGCGATCATTATTTTATGCAAGATTCCACTATTAGTACTTTNGTTCTTGTATTTCTTACCTACTGCTGCATCCTGCTATATTCTTTCGCGCGCGACGCCCCTCTCACCGCGACGCGACCATTTCGTTCCTAACGCACCACACCCCTGACTTGTACTGTATCGAACACCCTTAATGAATTCGCAATGGGCTCCTGAAGCCTATCCGACTTCAATTGTAATTCAATTATGTTGAACCGCACTGAACACTGCACCAAAGGAATTTCCAAGTCCAAGCGGCTGATTGTTCCACACGTCCATGAGATAGATCTATTTTATTTATTTGCATATTATTAATTTGCTAAACTGCTTCAATTACCATGAGGATTACATGCAAAATGTGTTCTGCAATCCCTTATCGTTAAAACGATAGAGGTACTTGCCAAGGACAAAAGGACATACCACGAACAAAGGGTAGAGGACATAAATTCCTCACATCTTTGGGAAATCACATCACATCTTCAAAAGAATACAAACTCACGTTACCATTCCATCGGCCATGAAAATGCAACGTGGCGTTTATAGTCCATCCGCCATCCTCAACTTGGACGCAATACTGAAAAAAAATAAACTTAAGTATAACTAATTCCTGCGACATAAACGAAAAGTTGGAAGAGTAATAGTAGAGTGCTGATAACCTTTCCAAATGGCGCCATGCACAGGCCTTCCATTCACAATCGTATCGCCACCCATCTCATAGGGAGCACGACTCTCGTAGGCAAAGCGAGGTAAAAGACCACCTCTTCTCTCCTTCAACAAATCAACCTACCATGAAAAGACCCCGATGGATGAAAAGCATATTCGGCTTCGTGGGGAGACCTAAAAAGGGGAACTCGATCGTAAATCATTGGCGTAGCGACTATGACAGCTTATATCCATCGATCTAAACCAAATTTATACTTAGTGATAATTACTCATAATAAATGATAACTACTGATAAGTCGAGGAGAAGAAATAAAGAGGTCTGGGCTTAGAGAGTTTTAGGTGGGTCAATAAGCCCATAAAAGCCAAAATTTTATCCAAAACTTTCAAACTGAATTTATTCCTTCATTTTCTGGTATTTATAACGAAAAGTATTCTTACAACAAAGCTAACGGGTCCGTAAAAAAGTGTAAAGCTTGACAACGTCAACGTGAGTAAGTGAGGCAGAAAATGAGGTCCAAATGAGGGTAAGAATGATATCAATGTTCAGACACCATAGTATTTCTTCAACATTGCCACCAATTCGGCTTTCTTCGTACCACTTTTTACAGTACAAGCCAGCTGTTCTTCAATTATTGCACGTAATTGAGCTACCGTAAGACTGTCCAGCTGAAAAATTCCAAATTAGATGATAAGGATTTTTTTAATACACCGCCACTCTACCACACTTGCATTCTCTGAAACTTTTTCTGATGACGGATTAAAAAACTCCGATAAGGGAANAAAAAAAAACAATTTGATGATAAGGATTTTTTTAATACACCGCCTCTCTACCACACTTGCATTCTCTGAAACTTTTTCTGATGACGGATTAAAAAACTCCGATAAGGGAAGCTCGTTGTTAAATCAAGCCGACTTCTAATAGCAGAAGTGCTGTAGAAAGGTGTAACAAAATAGGCAGGGAAGAAGCCTACATCATGATTTTATCTCGTCTTGCAGCCTTCTTAGGGCACCCTGTTCCTACCAACTGAAGGATGAAAATTGGCATGTCTAAGCTTATGGGCCAGGGATCTATGTACAGTGCTATTGCCGTTCTCCTAACAGTGAATTTTGCTCACTGCACTGATTCCTAGCTAGTTGCCCTGCCGTGTTTCGAGCCTCAGTTAGTTGCACTGACAATC